ATATAATGTGTGAGGAAGTAAGTATAAGATTTATACATAATCATCCTCTAACAACTTAAATTATTGGTTCAGTTGGTTTATGTATAGTATCAGAGTCTGGTTTGACTATTAAGTCTCGTGTTCATCAAGTTACGAGCAACCAATAGAAAAGATAAGAAAGACTGCTAATAGCCTCGCTCTTCCTTCCGTTGATCGAATTGCGGAGGGTAAAATTTTGTCGGGCCTCCAATATAATCACTACAATTGGCTGTTTTTGCTTTGGCTTTTGAGAGTGAGAGATATCTGAAGACATCAATTCAGGGAAATTCTATGATGTGGTCCTCCAATTTTCCAAAAAAAAAAAATCACCATGTGGCATTGCTTTTCAATGACACCCAAACAAACAAACAAACAATCAGAGAAATGTTAGATTACATCCATGGCTGATGGCCCCATAGCTGCCAAAAACCCAGCTCAGAGCACTTGATGATAAATTGGCCATTTGGGACCAAAACACCACCAGCACCACAGTGCTCTTTAGCTCCTCGATGTTTAGGACTTAGGAAGGTCACTTTAGGGTTAATTACATATACAGTCACCAAATTTTTGTGGTTATCCATGAATCGGTCAATGAATAATATTGTTATACGTAACGTACTTGTTGCAATGAAGTTAGGGATAACTGAAATTAACATTCACTCTAGTGTGGCTTTCTTCCTCATCAAGTTTCTTTGTACCGAAATTTTAATATTAGTTGACTGATGATTGCAATGATTTGGCATGCGAATCTCGATAAACTGGAACGAGAAAATCTTATGGAGATGGATAAAAGTGGTCGTATCTGGATTACCCCTAATTTTAATGTAAACCTTTTATAAAAATCTTTGCCCATGAACCGATTTCTTGTGACTCCAACATTATTCTATCTCAACTACGAGAAATTCTCTTTTAAGATAAAAGATTATAAAATCTTAACTACCTCCCTATGTTATCTTATGTTTATAACAACATAAAAGGTTTGAGAGAGAACCCTATTTCTTACAAATGGAAAGTTAACAATGCACCACTACTAGAAAACTTTGAAAACCTTGTATATGCAACTAATGTCTATGTAATCAAACATTCAATATTATCGAGGCGACCACTAGACCAAACATTGATAAAGCATTAGGTGTTGGATTGGATCAGATGACCACTTGATTGTACAACATACTCGCCTTCTATCTACATGACTTAAGGTGTTGTTTACAAGATATCAGACACGATCAAGGCCATGCATCTATGTGTTCAGACATGGAGTGCACGTTCAATGTCATTCAAGGATAGACATCTCTACGGTCAATCTCATTATAGATACAAATATTTACAGTTCAATGAATATAATTATGAGAATGTATAAATGACGCATGATTTGTTCTATATGTAAGTATCTTGAGTAAAACAAAGTAAAATAAACAAACCTAATTAACACTTCTCTCTCCTTCATTCGTAGAACAAAAAAACACTTGAGAATTAAAAAAAAGTTAATCGCATCTTCAAACAAAATTTTTGAAGGAATCAACCATCATCTCCCCCCTTTCACAAAAGCTCATAATGTCCAAACTTACATTTTTTGTGGGTGGATGACATGAAGTAACCCAAAATCCATGCAAAGGACACTAGGGAATATCTTTGTGTCGTCTGTCTTTGGCTAATCGGATTAGATCAATGCAATAGCAAGCTCTATAATGGTGGCACCCCACGATCGAACCCCATTTTTTTGTGACAAAACTTGGTGCATGTGTGAGTGATCAAAGAGAATCATATAGTTTTTTCATATCTTTTTCTCCCATTTATGTGCATTTTATGTACCTCTCCATCCCCTCTTTGATGAAAGATTTGTTTTCACCCCTTCGCATTTTGACCCCAAGAGAATGTTCTTTTTGGTTTCATTCACCATGAGTTGACAAATGACACATAAATGTGCACACTCATGTATCAGCATCATCTTAATTAATTCACTAACTAATTGGTTCTCGTGGTATCATATCGAGATTTGGCAGAAAATTCTTGTATTCAAATCATCACTAATATTAACAATTGATTTAAGTGGATGGTATGATATGCTTGTGTAGACTTCAATCTCGTGAGTTAACTTTCGTATGAGAGGTTACGTTGTATAAGGAAGTGTACAAGATCCATACATGGGTCTTTCTCACCAACTCGAATGTTTGATACTGATTTGTCCTCATTGCATAGACTACCCATTTCAACTCATAAACCGTAGCAGATACATTGCCCAATCCATTCGAATTCACATTATCTGAAATCTAAACCACACTTCTTCAAAGAGTTCATGTGACATATTCTATTATTTGTTGGGTGATTTGGCCACCCACCGATCTGTAAAATCCAGAGCAAAGTATTTCTTTAACTATTTCAAACTTAAGCAATGGATTTCATTACAAAAAATGTCAAACTTTAGTGACCATTTGGTACTATCACCCCCCTCCAAGGCTCCAACCCAAGTTTAGTGACTGTTTAAGTGTAATTGAACCCCCTATAAAAGTGACTGGATTAGCTCAAGGCGGGGTGGTGTCCATTCCACCCTTAGCCAAATGCGGAGAATGGGTTGCTGTTTCTTTCACTGTTGGTCTATCACAATGACCAGTATATAGTAGGAAACAACACTATGGCGACGACATTTGAAAAGGAGATAATTGATTTGAAGGATATTAGAATATAATCTCCTGAGTTATAATTAAGGGGAAGAAGAAATCTATGAAGTGGGGAACTAATATATATTCTATCCATTGATGAGCAATAAAATATCTCGGTTGATCATATCTCCAAACTTCAACTTGCTCATACAAAAAAGGGGTTTGAAAAAGGGATCAGGGGAGAAATGGAGGAATGATGATGAGATCCCCATGTTATTATGGATATGAGAACATATGCAATTGAATGCAAGACCCTTATTTGTCAAATGGTATCTTTAGGTGATTTAGATTAGAAAAAGTATGTAATTACTCATATTAATCACTATAACTTTAGGACATAGAAAGGGAGAAAGCTTGAAAAATCCCAAAATGAGCTTGTGGGCCTCATAATTCGTGAATGAAGTTGGTATCAATAACTCGACTTATTGAAACTGATTGATTTTTGACACCACATTGTGGGTTCGCATCAGTAGGCTAGTTAGGTGCATATTCCAACCAATCTGGTTGTTAGAATTGGTCGACAGAAGTACCTTGTATTTTTTGTTATCTGATTTGGTTGGATTGATGAACACGAACTATCATTAGGTTGAAGGAAACCGTGAGAAAAGAGATTGGATCGATGAGCACCAACGATTAAGAAGGCATAAACACCTCCAAATCCATTCCAATAAGTGACTCTATGTCATTTAGAACAGCACACCCTCATATCCATAAACTCTTACCTTCTTCCTGATCTACTATTATAATATAGCCTTCTCTACCCCTTTAATTGGTCCGTTTCTAAAAAAAAACCTTTGCTCTCGAAGGGGATCATGGAATCAAGCTAGGAACCACAAAGGGTGGAGGCAGATGGAACCAAAGCTGCCATGCAAGCAAACAAGATATGGTGTCTATGGAGGCTGAGTCACTTTAGCAAAAATGATGGGGCAAAGAGACTCTTCACCTTTTGCCTCCCCATGGCTCGACAAATTGGCCTGGCCAAGTTGTCATTCCCAGGCCATAAAAGGGGGCTTAGCTGGTTTACTAGAAAGCTGCACAAATTAAGATGATGCAGATGGCTCATCACTAACCCTCCAAACCAAGGGTCCCCTTTGGATTTGTCCCCAAAATTAAATAACCATGGCCTGCTGCCTTCAACTTACTATCTATCTATGGTGCAATGATAGTTTAAGATAAGGAACAAAATTTTGACAGGACTGAAGTGTTGCCATGGATGCTTTGGCTTGCTTGCTAGCTAGTGGGGAAGCCATTTTCAGTGTTTCATGGATTAGGACTACACACAAATAGCTGTATCAGTATCTCCTCTCTCCCTCTATCTCTTTCTATGTCACTTTGTTGAGCATTTGGTGTTGAGAGAATCATATGGTATAATTCACTTTTAAACTCTTTTTCATAGCTTCATCAATTATCAAAATGAAGTAATTTCTTTCAGATAGTATCAAGATTTCTTTACTAACGAAAAATTTACAAATTTTGGATCATGAATGACACTATGTTACTAACCAAGTTAAAGACGAGATACGATATCATAAATGGACCACATATTAGGTCGATTCGGGTCATGGGTTATCAGCCATTTAGAGTTTTATGGGTTATCAACCAGTTAGAGTTGTGAGTCTAGTTGCTTTAATTATTAGCGAATGGTGACATCAATACTTCTAATCTTAGCCTGATCATAACTATATTGCTATAGACTTAATAAAACGAGTCGAATGTCAAACAAATATGCATGCTTCATATAGAATTATCATTAGTACGAGCAAATCATCATCTTCACTAACTCGAATCGATCGACTCACGGTTCGATACAGATCGAAGCATATCAGTTATAGAACTCCATTGTGATCCTCTAGCTAGTTGCTTTCAAGTTACAACCCCACTAGCTACCTGAAAGAGTGGGAGACGTCACTCTGAAGAGAACCCAGATTGATATGTCGACTGTCGACCACCCCAATATTCAACGAGCAGAATAATGGCAAAAGTCGAGCCAAGCAATTGGGTTTGCAGCAACTTACTCACCAAGTGGACCGGCTGATCCATGATTGACATGCACACTATACATTTCTATAATCTATGGCTTTGGGGGAACAGATTAATGCACTGGCTGCCGGCCGTGACTCAAACGCCTCCACGCGTGCTCTAAAGATCCATATATACACACTGATAGATTGACAGAACCATAGATAGATACCTTCACTTCTTCTTCTTCTATGCTATGTCTCCTCTGTTGATAAAAGCTCAGCTTGTTGGACAAAGACATGGAATAAGGATCATTTTTTCTTCACTGATATGTTGTTCCACTGAGGATAGTATCTATGGCCGACACAGTGCTTGCTTCATGGATCGAATCATTGTGCAGCCCTAGTTCTTGTTTGTTAAGCACACAATGGAAACCAGAAGATGTAAACTGAAATCTACCAGGATGGAAACCAGAAGATGAAGTTATATTTCAACACGATTAGCCTGGAGAAAGTGATCATTCACACCTACTTTTCAAATGAGTTATCGATACAATGGAATGCCAGTAGGCAGGAGGCTAGGCTAAAATCACACACACACACACTGGGGCACTCGCACTGGAGAGGGAAAGAGTAAAGAAATGGTTACAAATTTTGGTTCAGCAGATGGACACTACCATTTTTTTCTTTTGTCGTGTTACACAGTTTTATCAGCGTTCCCTTCCTTCCACCCCATCAATATTAACAAGAATATTTAACAAATCTTCCCCTTAACAGAGCTACTGGGTTTTTCTTTGCTTTTACGGAGGTCATGTTACTCGCCGCTGATCATAACTGACTGATGAGGTACCCGCCTTATTTCTACAAACGACGAGTACTCCCTGCTCATCGGCTGCTTCCATGGCTCACCGTCCATCTGGAGAAACGCGTCTTTCCATTCCCCTCCCCTTATCTCCAGTCTAATCGCTGCAGCCTGAGATAGAGCAAAAGGGAAATCGTTGAATCAAGAAAGCCGACGTTTTGAAGCCCATTGCTACTGTGCTATCTAGTTTTCTTCAAGCATATAGTTCTACAGGCTAAGCCAATTTGCTCTGAACTCGCTTGTATGCATCACATTGGTGCAATGAATAAACTCGGTATTGAGATCAGCTAAAGTACCGAACTCGCCATAATAAGTCACTGTTCGAATTGTCATCTCTCCCGTTTGTTGTGCTTCCAGATCAGCAAGATGACGGCAAAAACTGAAGGAGGTGGAAATGCTAAATGGTGACATTTTTGGCCGAGTTACAGTGATTTAGGTGGTGTCTCAGTACCGAGTTTATCCAGTGCCCAATGTGATGCATGTAGCCGAGTTAAATGACCAAATTGGCATCTTTAACTTGGGTGCTACCGTGTTTCAAATTTGGCCAGCTGAAACATGCATGGAAAAACATCTATGCCACTACTACTGTACCTGGGCTATGTGTTTCGCGGATATGAGTTCAACCATCACAAATGAGGCATGCCACCCTTGTTTCAAACCAAAAATTTCTAGGAGACCATCGTCAACATGAGCCTCTACGAATCCCCTCTGTCAAAATAGACGGGAAATGTTGTTTGCGCAAGTCAATATACCCTCGAATGAAACAAGAGTGGAGAAAACTGATTCCCTTGTATAAAGTTTGCTGAAGACCTTGAATATGAAAGAGTGTGTTATTACCTTCTCCAAGTAGTCAGCAGTTGGGTTGCCCCATGGATTTCTCCCACTTCCATAGTTGTGAAGGTTCAAACAAACTATCGCTCTTACACTGCAGATAACAAAGATCAAAGGTGAACCAACACGCAAATAAATGGAAACAGCAGTGAAAGTCTTTCAAGTTGAAGATAAGAACAACAAAAGACAGCAGGCTTTTACCTTTTAGGAACAGGGATCTGTTCCCATTCTGAGCAATTAACCTTTTTAATGTGCATCCTGATGACATTTTTGAGCCCCCTGCAGCAATCATCTTCGAGTTAGTATTGATCTTCATGAGATCAGATTCTAACGAAAGCAAGATATGTGAACAAACAAGAGGGAAGTTGCCCTCCTGCTTCCTCGAAATGAATCATTGACAAATTTGGTTGGAGATAAGCCAACCTCAGACCGGGATCGTTAATGCAAGGAGTGAGAAACCAGCCCTGGGTGCAACTGTAACCAGAGTATATTATCTGCACCATACCAAAAGGAGATTAATAATTTAATAGGGATGCCGAACAACTGTCCCCAGAAACAACAAAAGTATAGTCTCCTGAACTACTACTCGAGATTATAAGGACTGTAAATATATAATAAATGAGTTTACTAGGCACTAAAAATTGCAAAAGATGAAAGGTTTATGCATTTGGACATTGTCGATACATTAACCGAAACTCTTAGAGAAATCTTTTGAACCCAAAAGTTGAAGTTTCTACTGGAGCTGGCAAATGCTAACTATACATGACATACATAGCATTTGGCATTCCATTTTTCTGGCGAAATGGATCATCATAGTTGTACATCAGCTATTTCCCTTAGATACAAAAACATTAAAGATATATATTTTCGTAATAGAGGAGGAATGATGAGTTGGAATGTGTCCACAGTAGGTTGTCTACCGTATAACATTACAAAATCCTTTTGGCAACTTGTAAAGTAATCAGAAAAGTTGTCTAACCTTATTTGCAATGGGACCTTGTGCAAGGTAAGGTTTTTCATTACGTAAATGGTGAAAGCCATAAGCAACTTGGGCATCCATCCCTGTAGGCACATAGCAAAAAGTTAAGCTTCCTGATAGGAACCAAAGTTTCAGTTCCTCTAAAGTAAAGGCAACAAATATGATGTGTCATTTCTTGAGAAAATTCTAAGACCCATGATTACAGGCATTACGGCAGTAACAATGGACAAACTTAGACCCAGAGTTGAACTGTAAGTTGACTGAAATGATTTGAGCAGACAAATTTCCCAATGGCATACAAATAACACAAGGTAATACCTATGCTGAAGTAGTTATAAAATACTCCTTCATAGCAAGCCATTTTCTCAGCCAACAGCCCCTCAACTTCCAAATCCTGAGAACCAAACATTTAGATATCAACACAACTGCATCGATAGACCGTAAGACCACACTCTTTAAAAGAACACCCTATTGCGCAAGGAAATATTTTTGTTAACAACCAGGACACCGGTCATAATATCAACTCCCAATATGGATCACACTTCCCGATCCCAACCGCTCTCTAAAAACAGACTGCTTTTCACTTCAAAAATATTGCAGAAAGAACACACTATAAACCATTGCTGCTCCAATAATGTGAACATATAACAGATAGCTGTAACCCGTTCACAAGAACTCCAACGTGATAAGAAGGAAAGTCTGGCCAGGGGAATTCAACAGCAAACAAAAGCCTGCACCGCATTCTCAGTTGACAGCACACTTATATGGATGCAGTAGTACAAACCTGATCAAGCTGGCAATCTTCAGTAGCCTTTAAGGAATAGGGAGCATCGACAACTTGCCCTTCGGACATCGAAATCACAACCTGCCAACTGCATGACAAGGCTGTTTAGTCACCAGCTATACCACACGAAAATCATTGATCACTCTGAGTTACTGCAACCGAAAAACTTTAAAAGAAATCTAGCAGTAAGGCATGAGAGCAAGGACCAGCTTCAAACAAAAGCCTACAAATGGGGAACAGCCATGCCAGACAGAAGAAGACAACTCATACAGACACAGAAAAAAATAAACCTTTCTACCAAAAAAAGAAGGGAAAGTGAACCTGGATAAGTAAGTTAACATATTTAGAAAATATAAACCAATGGAGAAAAAGCCACAGGAGGATGGTGGCAGCTGACTTACCTATCAAGACGGCAAACAGGCCCAGCAGTGGCCCTATCAAGAGATCGCTTAATAGCTGATTTCCAAGCAAAAGGAAATGAACCTCCCTAAATGATGGTAATACAACAAAGGGTCAACAAAGAAAACATCAAAAGATGAAAACTTGAAAAACTACATGAAAACAGAAGGATGATATAAGTCAATACCCAACCGAAACTCCTCGACAAGTCATTGCCTGTACCGAGTGGAATGATCCCAACCGGAGGAGCCGGCTGTCTTCCCTCTTGGTGAAGTTCTGCTAGACATCCCAATACCCAACCAACTGTACCATCTCCTCCAGCAACCTTACCAATAGCATAAAGACAAACAAAACTCACTAAGTCACTTACTCTCAGAAATGGCATCACCTTTCAACAACGATCACAAAACAATGGCAGTAACCATACCATAATCCTCATTTTCTCCCGACACTCTTTGGCACAAAGATCACCAAGGATGGCCATCTTCTCTATACATACCAGTCCATATCTCACGAATTCGTGAGGCTTCACATCTGAGAGGTCAAAAACCTGCATTACGCATCACTTCACATTTCAACAAGCCAAGTTCCTAATAACTTGCGCTAGGTTAATTCCAATCCCAATCTCTTTCACTCTGACATGAACCCTAAAATAATTTGTAATCGAAAGAAAACCCCTGCCTTTTCTAACCTGTTCCTCGCTCATTAACTGCTGGAGCCGCTCCTTGAGTTCGGGGCCATGGCGGCCACCGCTCTTCGAATTGACGAACACCACCATGGGGCATTGCGGCGCGTCCTCGGGGACTCTCAGTTCGCCGCTGTTGTGGTGGCGCTCGCAGGCCTCCGCCCCGTCTTTCGACCTAATCGCGTCGGCCATGGCTCGCCGGAGGTATTCCGGCATGACGAGCTTCTTCCTCAGCACTTCCTTGTCGATTCTGGCGCCGGACAGCCCGCACCCACGGATCGAATCGATCATCGAAGATCTCGACCCCACGATCCTCGTCGACGTCGACGAATCGACCGTCGCCGTCGTCGACGAATCGACCGCCGCCGTTGAAGTCGCCGTCGAAGTCGGTGAATCCATCTCTCCTTCGCCTTTTCTCTCTCTCGCTCTCACTGGGTTCTATTATTAGCGGCGGCGGACGAGAGAACCCAACCCACCAAAAAAAGCGAAGAAGAAAGCAACTCTGTCCCGCAGATGGCTTCTCTCTCCCTCGAAACTGTTAAGAGGAAAAAGATTCTCTGGCTTGCGCATTGTTTTTTGGCTGTTATTTATTTTATGAGTTGGATATTCTTTTTTTGTTTCTTTCTTTTCTTCCTCCTTTCAAAATGGAAATGGTTTATTCCATTTTGGTCAATTAATTTGACAAATTTGTACATTTTACCAATCAAAAGACTAAAAGTTTGACAACCGAATAAAAATCAGAAATCTTAATCAATTATCATTAGCAAATTATGTCTACCTTTCACCCCCAAAAAAAAAGTAAATAGGAAGGAAGATTGATCAGTTAACCGTCAACAGATTTGACCCGCCAGCGTGGTTCGCGGGAAGAGCAGTCAATGGCTGCCTGTGCTGTGGCCCGGGCCCCACTCCGGAAGATTTTTTAAATTGCCGTTGTTTTCGGTTATGTTTTCCACCGGGCCCCACCTTGTCTAGAAGGCGCGGAATTTTCTTTCCGTGGGATGAGAGGAAGACGAAGAAGAAGAAGAAGAAGAAGAAGAATAAAAGGAAACTGAGAAGAAAGGTCTTTGCATGGCTGGCACTGTTTGATTCTTCCCCTCGTCCATGGTGAACGTTTTGGTCAGAGATTCTTTCTGTAACGATGTACTGGACCCTAAGTTTCATGAACTAGATTTAAGTGATACAATGAGGCCCAAATACTGTGGGCTTCTACGAACTGAAAAACCCTTAAAACCATTTTCACCCAAGATGGACAAGTTGGGCCGTGAGCTAGCCCGTGACAATGAGGCCTATGATGATGGGCTCACGCCCATAGTGGGTTGCTGCTGACGATTGGTTCACGAAACATAGCCATTAGCCAGGTGGGCTAACCCATTAAAGGTTCCCCCATGATCTCATGGAAGACCTTTGAGATCGAGAGATGAAACTGTGTGCTGCTGCTGCTGGTAAAGACTAAAGAGGGTTCATTGCACCAAAATTTGGGGGCCATTTGTCCCATTTCATGGACTATGGTTTTCAGTTTTGTCAAAGCAGCGTTTGTCTGGTTGTATTTTGTGTTCATGGCCACGATGTAGGTCTAAAAGGGGATCACAAATGTGAAGTGATGAAACCAAAGATTTTATTCAAACCAAGGACAAAGAAAACGTGTCATTTGTAGGTAGGTAGGTAAGTAAGTATTTTCCACATTCACATTATGAAGTAAAACGTTATTAGTCTTTCATTTTATATACATAGCTAGACCAAGAAAATCTTGGTTTTCTTAATAAGACCATGATGAAAATTACATAAGAATGAACAATATATTTCTTTTATTTCGGATGAATTTAAAGTCATTCACATATTTAATAGCCTTCACAGACTCTCCTTGCAAACCGACACAATTTGTTATCAAGTTTTAGAGATTTGTCTTTTCATTTAGCTAGATAAACACCCTCTTATCATTAACTCACTATGTTTTGGAGATATCGACGTAGTTAATTCCCGTCGAAATAAGTGAAACAAAGTGTTACATATACCGGTAGGCTATTACATCGATCGCACTGTGTCCCAGGGTAAAGACTTCGGCGCCAAGAATCATTAAACAAGAAAAACAACCCAACAAGGTGAACAGATGTTTGATGTTAAAAAGGAAAGCCTATTATAGGGGGAATTGAATGAATGGATTTATGTCATGTTTGGTTGGAACCGAAACACGGCGGCAATCCCGGGAGCGTTGCACGTCATTGGACAAACACGACCTAATCAAAGTTGCCTACTACTACTACTCTCATCTCCAACCTTTTTGCATTAAATGGGCAAAAACTGTCTTCTGCCACCCACAGCCACAGCCACAGCCACTCCTTTTTTTTCTTTCTGTGTTCAGCCATTCAAATGGCTTCTGTACGTATCCCATTTAATGCATTCATTCATTCAAAGAAGAAGAAGAAAAGCAGTCTAGTCCACAATTCAATTTTCCCGGCGGCAAAGACAGCTTAGCTTCCACATGATGTGTTCAATTATTGGGGAAGAAGACTTCACCATATATGTGCTTTCGTCATAGGTGAGTTAAATTGTTTTTTACTTCAGTAAAAAAGGTGGGATGGTGAAACTAAAAAGCATTCAACTTTTAACTCAATGGTGTGATTATTTATGAGTACATGCATGCAGTCAAGTTTAGACAACGTGTTATTAGGGTTTAGGGTTGCTAGAGTGCAAGGCTCTTGACCCTGTGGTCATGAGTTGGAATTTTCATGATAGGCGTGTTCTCAAACTCGCTTATTGTTTGCTCTTGCTATGAACTTGGGGGAGTTGGTCCCCTACCAGACTCAAACTGAGAGAGGTCTTGCCGAGCACTGAAAACTCTAATCGTTCAACAACATCATAACATCTTTTTAAGTACAAATTTACGTCATCAATCAACCGTTGTTGTACATACTTTAAGCCTAATAACCAGATACTTCCTTCCGACGAAACTACGAACCAGAGATGGTAATATGTCATCCATCCATACTCGATCAACCCCTATTGAGATATATAGGTTACAAACTTTACTGCCTTTTTGTTTTTTCTTCTGTCTCACTTAGCTAGCTAGCAAAGGAAAAACAAAACCATACGTACTACAAACACATGGGATTCTCCATTCTGCCATTCTGTGGTCTGCCTCAGTACAAGCAAAGCTTAGCTATCTAGCTGAATCTCCCTAGCTAGCCTTCATATCATTGTCATCCAATCAGTATACATAGTTCAAACTTTTCTCCCCTCCATTCCTCTTCCTTTTTTTGCTTTCCAATTCTCTCTGCAACTATGTTCCCCTTCTTGAACGTGGATTTGATTGATTGATTTCTCTGTCCCTTTACTGCTGCTGTGTCACTGTTGAGAGAGAGAGAGAGAGAATAATAGTTCTTTGAAAAGTGGTTAGAAAGATGGTTTGTCGTTTGGGCATATATGCCGAGAGAGTTAGCTAGCTAGAGAGAGCTCCATGGCTTCATATACATGAGAAAGGCTTTTCTGGCTGTCTTTCTGTCTGCAACTACTGACTACCCTCTTTTTTACAGAGCACTCCTTTCTCAGTTATTCTCAAGACTAGTTCCTTTTTTAGCTTTCTAGAGGGTGAAAATTGAGAACCCATGTCGGGTCGGGTTGTTGTGGTGTGGGTCATGAATCATGATTAGGGTGGTCTAGCTAGAGCTATGTGCATGGTTAAAAGTTATTTTGGGTCATTGTTAGTGCATGCATGGTTGGTATAGGACTTGGTGGTAAATGAAAGTTGTAGTTTTAAGTGGTTAAGTTAAGATCGTGTCTTTTGAACTATGTACGTACTTAGATGAAGCTCTCTTGAGGAGTTTGAGTTAGCTGGTCTCTTTTATATATATCAACGATTTTCTTTTAAAATATATAGTCAGATCAACATTTCGGGGGGGAAAAATTGAGCTATAATTAAAAAGATCGAGTTTCGAAACTACATGTGACATTTGCATGTGTCTTAAAGAAGTGTTTATCAGACGTGATATATGTTGACATTAGTAGTAGTATAACATCACTTGGATGAAATTCTCTGCATGATCAGAACATATAATTAGAAATTACATTAAACCGAAGATGAAAACATCATTAGCGTACAACCTTCGCATTATTCACCTCGTGCTATATATTACAACCAACCATAGCCAAACTACTACAAAAAAATTCATCATAAAACCGACTAATCTTTCAATTAAATGTAGAAAATATAACAACATCGTACATTACAACCGATTCATATTCTGGTTTGCCGATCCACGATATTCAACCGGTTCGACAACCATTGCAATTGTGGTACATGTGATGTCATCACAAAACACTATTCATCCATCCTCTTTACACAACCAATCAGGATCAGCGGCGGATCTGGGGGCCCCGGGCCACAGCCCAGCCCTCCCTCGATTCGGAGCTAGTATAGCACTTGTAAATTTTCGATTTTTTGTGTTTGTTTCGGTGTTCGTTTCAGTGTTCGTCGTGTTACGACCCAGCCTTCTCAGTTTTTTTTCAATGTGATCCAGTGCTCTACCCAATCCTGAATCCGCCGCTGATGAGGGTCAAACTTTTCCTGTCTTTGCTATAGTAATGTACACACTCTGCAGCTGCCATATACACAACACAGTCTAGCTTCTAGCCTAAAGCGGCAGCACTCGGTCGTCGTGGACCGTCACTGTTTGCGTATTATATATGCAAAGTGACAAATGGCAAAGTTAGGGTTTTCAGTTGTCTCCTGTTATCTGAAATCTCAGCTGAAGCTCAGCAAAAGAAAAACAAACCAATTCGATCACGCTGCTGCCTGCTGCCATGGTCTGCTGCTGAGCTTAGCTGAGCTGAGCTATATTATATATATGTAGTACTGTGGGGTTGTTTCTATCTATCAACTTTTGCTCTTCATAAAAGCAAAAATGTCGTCTTCTGTTTGGCTTCTCACTGTTTTTTATTCCTTTTTAGAATCTGCCTGCTGACTGCTGCGGCTGGTGAGCTGACAGGCAATAAAAAGGAAAAGCTACCCAAAGCAAATTTTAGAACTGCCCATTTCGAGTTTTTGGATTCATCTCTCTGGCTTCTCATCAATACCAAAAGTTACGTACATAATACCATCAATCATTATGTTCTTTTGTAAATTAAGTTTTAAATGAGCAGTAATTCCTTGTGTCAGGAGAAAAGGATGGGTGGAAAAATATTAGTTGATGCATTAATTACCTTGTGCCTCGAATGTATATATCCTTCCATTGCACACAAAGTGGTAAAAAAAAAACATAGTTTGTTCCTTTGTGGTGACCAATGACAAAGTTTCACTTGCACAAAAGTTTGAATAACTAGCTTATAAGAATTGCATCCGAATAATTATCTTATAGATAGTATAGAATTTTAGATGATTTTTCAACTCGGTTGTATTTTTTTTTTTTTTTTTTTTGTCAGAGGCAACACATACATGATGGTTGTCAAAATTTGAACTCATAACCTCCTGAATCCTAACTTGTGCTTTTACAATCTCCATCATGCATGGGTGGTTGTTAACGATAATTAGAGAGAAAAATAGGCGACATGGTTTGAAGTACTACAT